TAATAAATTAATAAATTAATAAAAAAAACATTTCTCTGAAAACATTAATGACTATATGTCATATTAAAACTTTTACCAGGTCCTCATTGTAAATAAAAACTGGTTCTCAGCTGACTTACCTGTTAAAATAAAGGTTTATATAATTTGGGATGCACTAATCTGCCTGTTTCAGCCACATAAATATCTCTGCCAGTCATATTTATTACATACGTCTGCTGTGTCCTGCTGGAGTTGATTATTTGTGTCGTGTGCAGGTGTGATGGGTCATATAAACCAATAGGATGTCAGACTGATATTAATTTATACTTCTCATCCAATCACAGTTAAATTCATTTTATCCTGGAGGCAAAATTTATCTGGATAGGTTTTTTTAAACAATGACAAACTGAAGCAAAAATAGTGAAGTGAAATGATATAGAAATACTTTTTGTATTTTTTTAAGTAGAACGTATTTGCCCGAAAATATAAAGCGTTTAAGTAAAAAGTAGAATGTTTTGTGTGTTTGTTAATATATACATAATGAGAAAAATCTTATATATTTTTTCCCAAGCACACATTATATTCTTTTATTTTATATCTATCTTTTAAAAAAATCTTGATTTTTATAGCCTAGAAGGGAAGGATTGGGATTCCCCTCCTCCTGGGGTGAACTTCCAAAAACATAGGAGTCGAGCTTAAAACAGAGAAATGTGATTTGGCTTCTGATAAACAACTACGCATGTCCACTCTTGTTTTGTGGGCTAGAAATCTCAACTGTACCAGCCATTTTGACTTTTTTTTAATCTAAATACAACTTGCTCGCTTTGTCTCYCTGTTGGCTTTGGTTTGATGACTGATGACTTTGTTAGGATTTCTTGTTTTGTTTTTTTCTTCTTCGAACAAAAAGAAAAATATGAGTTTGAAAAGAATAAAATAGTTATTTTTCTAACTCAAGACATTTAGGAGGAGCTCCTGTAGCCAGTGAGAAGTCTTTTGTTTGTAATAATTTGCCACAGTCTCAGATTTTTATTAGTTGTCTGAACGACAGGAATTTAATCTAAAAAAATAAATAAAAATAATGATGAAATCTTCTCTTTTTTTTCTGTTCAGGCAAACTCGTACTATGTGAAGCCCAGGGTGACAGACCACCAGTTTGGCATCAAGCACTACGCTGGAGAGGTGATTAACTATGCTTACACACACACACACACACTGGTCTTTATATCCTCGTAGGGACTTTGCATTGAATTCCATTCATTTTTCAGTCATTTCTAAAGCCTAACCCTGACCCCTTACTCTAAAACTAACCACCCCAGTACATACCTGACCCTAAATCTAAACCTAACCCCCCACCTATGTGCTCGTCGGGACCAGGGGTTGAGTCCCCACAAGGCTCTGTTTGACTGTAATGGTCCCCATGATGTAGCAAAACTGTCCACACACATTAGACTCTCTTCTTAAACTAGATGCTGGAGGAAGTGAGGTAATTATTGGATGAGCAGAAGGATTTTCTTTGCCAAAAATCTTCTGCAGGACGGTAACGCCTCACCCCTCCTCCACCATCGTTTTTCATGAGTCAGGAGAAACCCTTTCACCGTCATCCTCCTCTTCCTCTGCTTACATGACAACAGGATTTACTCCTGGAAGAAGGAAAAGGGTGAGGAGACGTTCAGGGCAAAGGGGCGAATGCAGAGGAAAGATCTGGGTATAGGATGTGATTTGGGTCTGGCTTTGTAGTTCCGTTCTGGGACAAGGTCTCCTCAGTGTGAASCCAGCAGCTTCATCACAAGCCTGGCAGGGGTAGTTATGCTAATGTCCCGGTTCAGAGACGACACAMAGTTGTTCCTTTTCTCCTCGTTTGCCTCTTAAAATGACACTCCAGATCTTTTGAAGTGGGGTTCTGTAGAAAGTTTGGAACTGTTAGATGGCTCTGTGAAGGGCCTCAGTGTGGAGAAATAGTTTAAAGGGGAACTATTATGCAAAATTCACTTTTTAAAGTTTTTTTTTACTCAACTTTGGGTATGTACTTCTTAAAAAAACAGTCCTAGGACCAAAAAATGCACCCAGGGGCATATTTACTGTAAGTAAATGAATTTTTAATGTATATTAACGACAAGTTTTATACTTCCGTCATTTTGTGATGTCACAAGCCGTACGACAACCCACCGGAACCCCCGGGTGAGACTCCACCTCCTCAGTATAGAAAGCCGTCACCATGTTGTTGTGCAATGTGCAGCTCATTTCACAACAAGTTTCCAATAGGGCAATGGGTAGAGAGTTGGACCAGAGAGTGGGAGACCAGGGTTAGAGACCGGCATGGACACTATTTAATTATTTTTTGTATTTTCGTTCGTTATGAACACATTTTCTCATGTACCTCTATTGTTTAGCTCATTAAAGCCTTGTTAAAGCCTATTTGTTTGAGTTTTTGAGGTATTTTGACTGCTGCTGCTCCCTGCTCTGGTAACAGCATGCAGAGTGAGCGCAGAGCAGAGGAGGGGGAGAAAAAAAGAAGCTGGGACCACGACTCTGCCTCTGGGTCTCATATGGTTGTATAACGGAGCTTCTGCTATTATTAGCCATGCTAACGTAAACGCTGGCTTTGGAGGGCGGAGTTRATGTCAACAGATTTTTGGAGGGCGTTACCAACAGAGCTCATTAACATAAACAGCTCTTCTGAACAGAAGTCAGACCAGGCAGAACTAGAAAATGGGAAATTTCATTATCTGAGAATTATTTTGTGAATTTAATTGAATGAACATGGTCTGGATAGCCCACAGACATACCATAAAAATTTCTAGGACCCATAATTGGTCTCCTTTAATTCTCCGCAAATTAATGAACTAATAGAACAAGGTCGAGGACCAAAGTGGATTGTTGCCGCTTTAAAACAATTCTAATCTTAATAAAGTTGAAAGCAGTCCAAAAAATGAACACTATTTTATAACCGTTTTTACACATTACAAACTTATTACAGCAGAAACAGCTAGCAGTGCCACAGCTAGCTGCTGCTAACTCAGTAACTGACACAGAATACATGTGATACACTGTAAATCTGTGCTGCTTTGCAGAAAACTAATGATTCATTTATGGATTTCTTTAAAAGGTTACAGGAGCTAAATGAGTGCATCGACTTTTCAGTGTCTCTTCGGACTTTATGGAGCCTGTAAACTTGGAAAATACGCGCCATTTAAAATCTCAGACTCATAAACGTTTTGCACAGAGGCTCACATTAGAATGAGGTTGTTTTTTTTATATTTCTATTTTTATTTTTATATATTTTATATTTCTCATACACACATTTTTTTCTTCTTCTTTGCGTAGATAGATCCTCTTAGATTTTTCAGCATATTAATGCTGATAAAGATGTCAGAATGTTGAATTAACACACATACACACCCACACACACACACACACACACACACACACACACACACACACACACGTGTTGCACTCTGTTAGGCCTTGAGGTGATTTTTTTTTTCATGCAGAGCTTCATTCAGTCACTATAAATTACTCGTGCTATGTGTACATGTGTAAGATTAATGGGTTGTAAAGATAAATTAACTTTAYTCCTAAATGATTCAGTAAAAACATTTACTTTGTACTAAAATCACATGACTGTTTTCAGGATAAATGTTATGTATCTTTCTATATTTGTTTGTATTTTTTCGCTCGTACATCCTGTCTGTTGTGACGTGTTTTTTCTGTCACACCTGTGAAGGTGTTGTATGATGTGCGAGGAATCTTGGAGAAGAACAGAGACACCTTCAGAGATGACATCTTGTTTATTCTCAAAGACAGCAGGTGAGCGCTTGTCCTCTCGGCTCTGTACGCACCTGCGCACTGTTCGGCCCACAGCTTTCTTTAATCACGTCTAACCTCCTCTTCGTCGCCCATCCATCAGGCTGGATTTCATCTACGACCTCTTCGAGCGTGTCGGCAGCAGGAGTGGAGACGAGACGCTGAAGATGGGCACGGCTCGACGTAAGCCCACCGTCAGCTCTCAGTTCAGGGTAAGACATGAACTTGGCTGCTCTGGCATACAGAGATTCAAAAATCCAGGGATTTAAGGCTGAAGGCTCGGCAGAGAGAGGGGGCCAACCAGGGGTGAATCACCCTCCGATCTGCCGGCCAGGCCAGGCCAGTCTGGAGACAGACTGTCTGAGAGAAAGAGGAAGTTTGATGTGGTTTAGGGGCCTTAAGGGTGTGGATTTCTACATGTTTGTTTGACATGTAAGAGATAGAAAGTGAGGACATATATTCAAAGGGGAGGGCTTTACGAGCTTGTCCCCCCACGTTTTGTTGAAACTGAATGCTTTTAGCTAGTCTGAACACATATCAGTAAAACAATTCTGGAAGGTTTGCTTATTTGTTTGAAGCTAAAACATTGAAAAGCTTCGTTATAAAAGTATTGATTTAATAATTCAACATGACAACGGCACCATCATTCTGTGGAGTTGTTCTTTTTGTGAGGGGTTTAAATACATCTGCACATCCTATTAATATGAAATCAACAAAACCTACGACCAGACTTATAAACACAAGTTGAGCCACAAAAACTGAAATAACTTTTCTTCTCAAAGCAAACCCCAACAACGTGTTTAGCTTCTACTTTGTTGATCTTTAACCTCTGTTGGCTCTTTCTGTGTTTTAGGACTCGCTTCACTCCTTGATGGCCACTTTAAGCGCCTCCAACCCTTTCTTTGTGCGCTGCATCAAACCAAACATGGACAAGGTAAGTCATGGAAATGTAATCGTGCACGCCCTGCCAGGTTTTGTCAAGGTCGCATGAGAAATTAAGCCTCCTTGGTTGCTATTTATAGCTCTGATTGCTCAGAGGTAAAACGTGGTTGTGCTGTTTCCAACTACAAAGTCTGACAATCCACACGTTTCTCTTTTTTATTCTTGAACGACAGATATTTATGACCAGTATTCCTTTCCTGTTTTGGTGCAAAGACCCTCATTATACCGTCTCTAAATAAAGCACTGCATACAAACACATTCCTACCGACATAGCTTCTTTGCCAAAGGTGAGAGGTCACTGCCGACTGCCCCAGCTGCAGCTGATGCTCCACTGATCAGGCTGCATCAATGGAATGTCAAGATAAGACCGCAGCGTTTTTTTTTTTTTATTTGTGTTGCAGCAAGCGGGGCGTGCATTTGCTCTCGTCGTCTCTGCCCTGCAGCTCAAGATGGAACAAGCAGAGGATTTTTGAATCCGTGCTCGGTCTTCTGACATGCATGCAAATAAACACGCACAGAGTGGAAGCGGCGTGTCGATGTGATTTACACACGCKCCCGAGTTTGTCGCTCAAACAAATCAACACCCTCTCTCCGCCTAAAGCCACCCGCTAAAGAGCAAAGTTCAGAGCTCAAAGCGGAACGCGCTTACACGTGTTTAACCGTGAACACATGCAGGCGTGCGAGTTTCCACGCCCAGCAGCATTAGTTTGTAATTAGACCGACACGTAGAAGAATGCAGAGGTGTCGTGTGAAGCTTATCCAGCTCGGTGCGCCGCTCCGTTTGACAAACGGCGGAGCTGAGTGCTCAGGCGGCCTGCAGAGTGAAGCGAGGCGGCAGACATCACAGATCCTCTCTGATAAACTATGCCTGAGGATTATTGGTAACAACGCAGCTGAGGATTCCAGGAAAGAAAAAAAAAAAAAACGGGCTTCCAGAGCTGCCAAATGTCTTGCCTAACATGGTTCAGGTTTCCCAACGATGGTGTTTGTTTTCCCTTTTAGAAACCTGATTGTTAATGTAAAATGATAGAGCTCTCAGTGGTWATTTAACGTGTGTTTTTTTTTAGTTCGAGTTAAGCTTGACTCAGCAAAGAGACTATTTGAGTAGGTGTGCCTGCAGTGTTTAACTGTCTCATAACTTCCACCAACTGCAGTGAAGAAAAATATACTCTGCTGTAGCTAAAACACCAACTATTTACTTCCAATTTACTACCATCTTTTTATTTATTTTTATTTATTTCCGTTATTTAACCAGGAAACTCCCATTGAGATTAAAATCCTTCTTTTTCAAGGGAGTCTTGGCCAAGAGGCAGCAAAAATATACATTTACATAGAGTTACACAATTAAAGCACAATACAAACAATCTTTAAAAAGATGACTTAATAAAGGCCTAACAGTCCTTAAAGCAATGCATATCACCTCATAGGATCATTCAGTGTTGACGATTGTAACTCAGGAAGTGAAGTGTTGTGACTTTCAGCTACTACCACACTAAATACCTAATACCTAATTACCTAATTTCCCTCTGGGATCAATAAAGTATTTTTGAATTTGAATTTGAATTGAAATCTTGGCTCAGTGTCTGTAAATTTCACTGTTATAGCCATTTTTGTGTTTGCTAAAATTCATCAACTTTGGCAGCCATTTTAAATGACTGACTTTGTATCAGTTCTAGATGTCCCCATTCAGTGATTGCATTCTAAAAGTTTCATTCAAATCCCTGCAGTAGATCTTGAGATATTTTGCTGACAGAGGCTGTGTCCAAAACGACAGGACGGGTCCTCCGGAGGACMCAGACTCCCCGGTCTCGGCAGGCCRGGTCCTTGGTAGACCAGGAAGACCGGAAAAAAAGAGGCTGTGGATTTGGACGGTCTAGCCTCCCTCCTTACCCCGGCGTACGTCTTGTCACCTAGCAACTGTGACGACRCTAAACAAGCAAACTTAAATCAAAACTAGAAAAATATCAATACATTAGCATTATTAATATCACAAAACTATAAAATTAACTTAAAGGTATCATTTGAAGAACTAACTGACCCGCTGTAGGTTCATGTTTATTTCGCGTTTTTTATGACGAAAAAATAATATTTAAAAACATGTCCATATAAATGATAAAAGTATTAGAATTACAACCGCTAATTTTTTTTAATTTTTAAATCACCATCTTTTTATTTAAAAYGTATTCTTTTCTCTCGCTTCGTCCGCCATTACTAGCTTAAAAAAATCTCCGGTCGGGCCGCAATGCATTATGGGATACGCTGGGCCGGGAAGGATCCATCAGGCCTGTCCTTCGATTCGGGGAAAAAGAAGGACGTATTTGTCGGACGCATYGGAGGAGTCTTCCGTTTTGGACGTCCTTCGTCGCGGCGCTGTGACGTATGCGGCCGACAAATTCGACCTTCGGAGGACCCGTCCTGCCGTTTTGGACACAGCCAGAGTTTACCCCTATGGCTAATGGTGACATTTTTTAAAAAGATATTGTTTGATCCTTTTTTGCTCAGAGTACATGTTAAGCACGAGTCTCAGCTACGACCATACCAAATTTTAGCTTGAAAAATTGCAACGTTGACAGACTTATAGCTTTTTTTTTGTGTTTTCGCAGGTCAGTTAGCTGTGACACTATGTAGAAGTGGGTTGTCTCCAAAAGTTAATCAGTTGTTGGTGTGCATCTAATGATTGCTTTCTGAGAGTTTCAGTAGCATTTGTTCACTGGTTCATGAGAAATTTGGCTAACAGGTAGACAAACAACACTGACACTATGTACCTTTCACCTTCTGGCAGTGGATGACAATTAAATATTGTTTAAACTATATTTGTAAGGTTTCTATCTTTAGACATGATTTATTATTTTTGGTTGTTTATTTGTCTCTGACAGAAGGCCAATCAGTTTGACCCAGACGTGGTTCTGAACCAGCTGAGATATTCTGGGATGCTGGAAACAGTGAAGATTCGCAAGGCAGGATTCCCAGTCCGCAGAACCTTTAAGGACTTCTTTAGCAGGTACAAATCAAAATATTTCGGAAACGTTAAGGCTGCAGGTCACATCTTCCACCATGGAGCTTTCTGTGTTCTGACATTCTGTCATAAAAATGTGATCAAAGCTATCGTTTAGAGTCAGGGGCGGTTCTAGGGGCGGGGCCACTGGGGCATTGGCCCCAGCTGAAATCTGATTGGCCCCCTGAAGTGCCCCTATCCTGTCACTTATCTGTCCTTTACCTGGGGGTGATGATGATGGATGCAGTTCCTTGTTCAAACACTAGTTGCGCTAATGAGTCAAATAGTAAAGTCCAGAATGAATCAAGCTTTCAGAATTCTTCTCTTCTTAAAATGTGAACAATCCTGCAAAAAAGTATTTCAACTGACAAATGATGGCTGGATTTTCTCACATGTGTGTTTGAAAATATTTTATCTATGTACAGTAAAATGTATGAAATACTGGTGAGGAGAATTTACTGAGCAAGATTTTTGGTACCACTTTACAATCAAGCTCCCCTTATAGATGGCTTATAAAGGGTTTATAGATAGGTTATTAATTAATTTGTAACGTTTACACTTCATAAATCATTAATAAATGAAACTGGACAATTTTATCTCTTTCTCGTCCTTAATTATTGCATAATAAACACTTATTAATCATTTTTAAAGTGTTTACAGATTAACTAATAACCTGTCTATAAACTATTTAAAAGCCATCTATGAGGGGGGCCTTATTGCAAAGTGGTACCTTTTTTTAAAAAAAATTACATTACATTACAAGTGTTTGAAGTGTAAAATGTATACCCTGGGAATTTGTGTGAAAGGATGTTGAACAAAGACTTGGCACGTCTATGAATGTTGTGGCCCCTTGATGGCCCCTTACTTAGAAAAATCCTAGATCCACCACTGTTTAGGGTTGATCCTAAYTGAATCTAATCTTAAGGCCTCGATTCATATATTGGATGTCATTCATAGACAAATTATTAATTTGTTTTTGTCATACTTGTTTGTTTCCTCAGGTACAAAATGATCTCAAAAACCAAACTCCAGCCAGACGATGAGAAGCATTGCTGCTTGGAGCTTCTGTCACTTCACGACAAAGCCAAGAAAGAGTGGCAGCTGGGCAAGACAAAGGTGCAAAACACATGCACACATTTACAGACGTGCACACACCCAGGCTTGTTTTGACTAAACGTGAAGTCATGTCCATAAACAACAACCCAGCTCCGTCCTGACCCTCAAACAATTAGTCCAGGTCTTAGAAAGCAAATATTTAACCTGCAGGTGTTCTACAGCAGGTAAGATACTAGCTGTTCATATGAGTAGTTTGATATAAAGATTTGAAGAATTCCTGATCATTTGTTGCCAAAACAAATTAAAAATAAAAAAAAAGATCTTAAAAAAGGTAACCAGAAACTGTTAATGTGTACCACAACTGCTCTGACTCATGTCCCAGAGATTTGTGGTCCAGCTGCTGCTCTCTTGTTGACGATCGCTCTGCTTCCCCTAAAACTCCCGTCACTTTACTGTAACTCAGCGAGGGGGGGTTTACAGTAATCTCGAGGCGCCCTTTATTGCAGCTGAAGTGGTGGCCTTCCTCCGCGGGCCGAGCTGTTCATTAAACAAACTGCGCTCCGAGTGAAAGGCGTTGGGCGGGGGGGAGGGCGAAGCTGCAGCGCTGACATGTTGCAGCTGTGCAGAGTGCCATCGAAAAGCTCCAAATTCATCAGTTTGGAGCTCATCTGGCTGTTTCCGTCTAAACAATCATCAGTCCTTAAACAACAAAAAGATCAACTATTACACAAATTGGTCTGTCTGGTGAAATCTGTGCTTTATTTCACTTTGAGCATAAAAAAATCAGTTTAAAGCAGAAAGAAAGGGTATAAATAAAGTTATTTTGAATTCATCCGACCTCCTGTTCCTTCCTGCTCTTAGTTGTGGTTCCTGTGTGACTTTTCTGATTTAATAGTTCCCGCTCGGAYGCTTTTGTTATTAGCTGAGTGCTGAAATATACCAAAAAAAAAAAAAAACAGTTTGATGTTAGCCACATGTGTAACTGACCACTGAATGTGCAGATGTCAGGATATATTACACATCTCACACACGGTGTGGACATCTAAAGGTCACTCGCTGGGTCAAACTTGTCTRACTCGGTGCACACCAAGAGAAAACGGAGAAAGAGGGCAGATTTTCAAAGCAGTTTGTTTGTAATGGAGGCCCATTCTTTTTTTTTTTTTTTTTTTTTTGGGGGGGGGGTGGGTAATGTAGTGTGGGTTGTGGGAAAAGGGTCTACGTTTCCTTTGGTGTGTAATTATATATGCGCTGATTGTGAGCAGGGGAAGTGTGTGGCCAGGATTAAGGGCCTGGGTGATGTGTTTTTGCTGCTGTGTGTGTGCGAGCCATTTGTTTTACAGACGAGGGAAGGATGTGGACGAAGAGGAAGCTTCCTCCTTTTTTCGCAGGCTTTACAGTGGTCGAGCTGCAGCTGTGGGATCCTTTGATTATCCCCGGGACATCTGGGGCACGAGCGCAGGGGAGTCCCAGTCGTTGCAGCTGACTGTCACACGAGGACAAACTGTTTTTCCTTCGCAAGTTGATGTTTTCGGTTCAGAAAGACGGCGTTGAGCAAAGTTTCCAGGAGCGAGGGAAGGGTTAACTCCACTCTTTTTTTTCCCCTCCTTCCTCCATAAGAGCAACGAGAGGTGTGGTTTTGTATCTGGACACCAGCCACTCTCCCTCCCCTTCGCATCCCTTCGCCATCCCTCCTCTTCCCCTCCCCGCGTTCCCCTGCGCCTGTCTGCCTGTGCACGTCGGTGGAGCGCAGCAGAGGGCTGGAGGCTCAGACACGATGAGGCTCTGCAGCAGCAGCATTAGCAGAAAGGCTGCAGCCTCAGACTCAGCTTTCTTGTCTGTTCTGTTCTGCAGGCGGGGAGGGGGGGCGGCCACAGCCTGCTGAGCCTCACAGCCTCCTCCTCTGCAGTGGCAGACAAGGAGCTGCCAGCAGAAAACAGGGGCCCTTCTCATCTTTGTGGGGGCCTGCTTTTTTTTTTCTTTTTTACAGCCTCACCAAGAGAGGAGGAACTAACCCATCCTGTTTGCCACCCTCCTCCCTCTTTCCACCACCCCCATCCTCCCCATCTCTGTGTGCCTCTCTGTCACCCGCCTCGTCGGCCTGACCTGCAGGTGTTCTTGAAGGAGGCGCTGGAGCAAAGGCTGGAGAAGGAGAGGGAAGAGGTGCGGCGCAGGGCTGGCATGGTGATCCGCGCCCACATCCTCAGCTATGTGGGGGGGTGAGTGGCAGTGACAGTTGTCTGCGTTTGTTTTGTGGTGGAGGTGTTGTGTGTATCCTTGGGTTGACATCGACCATTATTCCTGGAACGTTTTCAGGTGAAAGGTAACTTTTAGGATGATTGAAGAGATGTTTGAATTGTGCAGCAGTTGCCAGTTAGCGGTTTTTGTTGTTTCATATTCCCTTTCAATCTAATAGAGTAACACAACTTCTACATCGCTAATAGTTGCAAATAAGTAGGAATTACACAGCAAAAACTGTCCACCTAACCAAGTTTTAAAATCTTATATCCAGCCAAAAAGTCTTTTTGATCTTGTTTTGAGACTGATTTACTAAACCAGAACTGATTGTGTAAGAATAATGATCTTGTTTTCAGAATGTGTCAGATTATTTGTCTTGTTAGTCTGAAAATTTGACTCAAATTAAGTCAAAACTTTCTTCTAATGGAGTAAGAAAAAAATTACTTGGTAAGATTCTTTAGTTGATTTGACTCAATTTCTTTCTTATTTCAAGAATCTTACCAAGTAAAATTTTCTTACTCCATTGGCAGAGAGTTTTGACTGAATTTGAGTCAAAATTTCAGACTAACAAGACAAATAATCTYACACATTCTGAAAACAAGATTATTATTCTTGCACAATCAGCTCTTGTTTAGTAAATCAGTCTAAAAACAAGATCAAAAAAGACTTTTTGGCTGGATTTAAGATTTTAAAACTTGGTAAGATGGACAGTTTTTGCAGTGTACTTGTTGCTTCAGATCTGCAGTACGACCCAATTCTGGAAAAAGCTGGAAAACTATAAAATTAAAAAGAGTGCAGTGATTTGCAAATCTCATAAAACCAAATCTTTTTAAYGACGAAAGGTAATCTGGACTTTTATATCGACCTTTCTCGAAAAAGTTGGAACAAGAACACAAAGCTGTAAAGGTAATTGTTTTTGAAAAAGACGCAGCTGTAGGTGTGTTAGGTTAATTAGCAACAGATTGGTAAGAGAAATGGGTACTAAAGGATCATTTTAGAGCGGCTGAGTCTTTAAGAAGTGAAGATGGGCAGAGACTGGTCTGCAAAAAGCTGCATCTAAAGGTGGTGGAACAATTTCAAAATAATCGCCTGTTTTGGAATTGTGGCCGTAGAAATGATTCAATCACGCTTTGTCTTGACTTTCTCGAGGATGCTTTTTTTCCCTCACAGGACAGAATTATCTGAGAAAATGAATGAAGTTTTAATTTATTACCAGAAGTACAGCTGATACAGATGTCTTCTCGTTTCAGCCTGAGCAACAAGTTGTTGTTTTTTTTCTGTCTGTCTCTCCTCTGCCTGCCAGCCTGAACATTCCTCCTGATGGTAGTTAAACATCTGCACATGCAGACTCCCTCGGGCGTTTAATTTAACTGTACTCCACCTGTGTGCAGACRTATATACGGTTACATACAGTCCTCGGAAAAAGCTCCGCTGGGAGACTATAATGGGCCTGACGACAGCACTCAGGTTGTGGGTTTCCTTCCCCTCCGAGTCGTTCGTACTCGAGGCAGAAACTTGGGAAGTTCCCTGTGGACACAAGTAAAGCCTTTGTGTTATTATGTGTAACAATATATCTGCTCCGAATCGGTCTTCGGTACAGTCGAAGCAGCGATTCCTGTGGAAGCAGGTCAGGAGGAAGGTCACAGCGGTGTGTGTGGTTCTTAGAAAGTCACGTGTGTTTGTCCGTGTTTACAAGTGTGTTTGTGTGTGGGTGTTGGGGATAAACACAAGAGCCCACACCACCGAGAAAGAAACTGCTCAGACTCTAAACACACAGCACAGGTCACTTTGCACAGATTTGTTTGTGTGTGCATGCGCGTGTGTGTGTGTGTGTGTGTGTTTATTCAAACCGAGAACCCCCAGCAGGCTCGATGACGAGACCGCATCAATATGGGGTGCCGTTTGTAAAGTTACATCGTCAAAAATTACCACCAATGTTTTTGTTTTATTTAGCCTTTTATAACAAAAAGAAAGAACAGATTTAATTTTCAAAGTCAGTTTTTCACCATATGATTCATACATTTATAAATGTCATAGTTTATAAACTAAACATTTAACTTACAAATTCAATATTTAGTTAATAAGGTAAAACGGCACCCCATACATCGACACCACGGCAGAAAAGTTTAAACATGTCAGCTCTCTTTTCCTCCTCCGCTCGTCAGGAAACAATACAGGAGRATTGTGTCCAGCGTGGTCACCATCCAGAAGCACTACCGCGCTCACTTTTGGAGACGCGCCTTCCTGCGCCTGCGCCTGGCCGCCGTCGTCCTGCAGAAACACCACAGGGGCCAGCTCGCCAGGACCCTCTGTCGCCAGCTCAAGGAGGAGAGGCAGAAACGAGAGGAGGAGGAGAGGAGAGAGGAGGAGAGGAGGCGACTAGAGGAGGAGGAGGAGAGGAGGAGGATGGAGGAGCAGAGGCAACGGGAGGAGGAGAGGAGGAAGAAGGAAGAGGAGGACAGGAGATTGAGGGAGAAGGAAGAAGAGCAGAAATTGGCAGCTAAAGAGGACAAAATGAGGTGTAGTATTACGTTTCTGTTTTATTAAATTAGGTGTTTTTTATTTTTGTTTTTACTAACTTTTTTTTGTCTTTAGGAACTCACTTGTGAACGGGGCTTGTCTAAAGGTAACTGCTTTGTTTTCTGCTGTCTAAAATAAGTAACTTATTTTTATCGCCTGCCAGCAAAAATGAAATGGAGCTGCGATGTTGTTGTCTGTGTTTGTCTGTACTGTTAGCAAAATATCTCCTGAGTCACTGAGCAGATTTTAAAGGGCCAATATTATGTGTTTCTCAGGCATATATTTAAATACTATACCATAATAAAGTATCTATATGCCACCTTTAGCTGTTATTAAAATGCTGTTTTTATGTTTAAATAGAAAATAAACTTATCTTCTCATCACTTCCTCTTCTAAACGCCTTGAAATTGGCCTCTGTCTCTTTAAGAACCTCCTTCCGCTTCCGTAAGTTTTGCGCGTGCGCTATGATGCAGGTCACTTGGCACCTGAAAATGCATTTCCTCAAAGGTATTTTGAATCTGAAAAGAGCTTCACTGAGTGAGCAGTAGTGTTAAGAGCAGCAGACAGTTTAAGTTTCACTTTCACTTTGCTCTGTTACTGCCGAGAGCCTGCAGGAGTCATGGGCGAGATGTGTGGGGAGGGGAGGTGTGCTCCGTGATGAGGAAGTTCRGCTTAAAGACACGTCCCAGGGGCGTTTCTGGTCCCCACCTGTCGTTTTGCTCCTCAGCATGGCTTCCTAAAAATGCAGCAGGATTTCTCAAACATGCATGAATGAGTTAGAGCAAGGCTTTGGGCATGTTTTTTTATACGAGTATAACATTATAACATGATATAAAACTCAAAAATGTTGATTTTACATGATATTGCCCTTTTAATGAAACACCTACAACTTATTAACTTTTAGAGTGCATTCAGGCTAAGCTGCCGCCACAACCAAACAATCAACACAAAACAAGCTACACCTCAGTAAAACTTCCGTATGTTGAGCTAAAATAGGTGCATGTGCAACTCGTTGCACAACATATTTGCTTCGAATTTTGGCATGACTGTTGGAGTTAACCCGGTTGTCTGATCRACAGAAGGAGCTGACCCAGACGCTGTCCCACAGCCACACCTCGGAGGAGGAGAGCCGTCAGATGGAGGAGATCCTGCGGCTGGAAAGGGAGATCGAGCGTCTGCAGAAGAAGCAGCAGGAGGACGGCGTGTCCCTCCTCGGGGACGTCTCCCGCGAGGAGCTGCGCCAGATGAGGGACGCCGAGATCTACAGGCTGGAGAAGGAAGCGTCTCGTGTGGCGACGGAGTTCCTGGAGCTGCTGGACTTCGGCGGTTTGGAGCCGTCGCTCTCGAGCGAGGAGAACCTCCACGAGCCGAGCGAATCCACAGCTCCTCTGGCCGAGGAGGAGGTGGACGAGGGTTTCCCCACGGAGGACGAGTGCGTCCCGCTGCCTGACTTYCCTCCTCCAGCCGTGATTCCTCTTGACAAGGACGTTTTTCAAAGYGTTCCCCCTCCTCCACCTGCTTTTGCAGAGGGACTAGTGGTCTCCCCACCTTCTGCAGTCACCCCGAACGGACTCAGTCCTCCAACTGACTCTCAAACCCGCCGCCCTCCACTTCCACATGTGGTAGCCAATGGAAGAGCCTCTGATTTGGAGCCCACAAACGAGGGGCCGTCCCGCCCAAACCTGCCAGACGCAGAGTCAGACTACGACCAGGAAGAGTTCGAGGAGGCTCTCGGGAGCTCTGGTGCCAGCATCATCGACGGTCATCTCACGGATGAGGAGGTGCTGCGAGAATCCTCCTGCACCCACAACAGCATGGACTCCTTCAGAGGCAGCTCAGACTCGGTGAGAAACAGCAAGTTTGTGTTGTGCAGAAACAGTCTTTARTATTACGGTCCAAATGGGAAGCTGCTTGGAGAAAGTCCTGAGAAAGATCAAAGTAATTACAACAAACAAAGGAATTATGTGGAGATATTTCACCTAACATGGATGGTTGGAACATGACTCAGTTTATGTCAGAAAAAAAAACATTTAAAAAGTGTTGAAATGGATCTGATCACAGATTCTGCAAGTCAAGCAGAGAGCTGCGACCTAATGCTGTCAGATCAGCAAAATGTCAGAGGAAAAGAAAGATGGTGTTGGAGTTTGCCAACATCCATCTTTCAGATAGGTTTAAAGAAAGTGGGCATTGGGTTTGAAATGAATTAGGCCTCTGGAAATGCAAATTTGCACAGATGTTGCTTGTTAAAACTGCTGCTCGGTAGTAATTATTGTCAGCAGCTAAAAGCAATAAATGTTTTTGCTTGTTGCAAAATACAGTCAAATTCAAGTTGGCAACCACAGTCGACTGAGATTAAAAAACACAAAAAAGATCATAACTCRGTTAATTTTACAGATATTTTGCTAAAAAATGTTGTGTTTATAGCCGAGATCATTAGAAATACAAATGCTTTCATTGTGTGAGGTTGTTGCTTTAGCAACTTTAGCATTAATTCTTAAAGGGATCCCCGATTAGTTGTAACATTAGACTTTATATGCCAAACATGTACTTTAACTGTAAAATAAAGACTGTAAAAATACAGTAGGATGTTCAGTTTTTAG